TAATACTTGAACCAAATACGGGATAAAGAGATATTATCACTATAATTAGTCTAAGACCCGGATGGACGAGTATGAGATGAACATGTTTGTCCAATCCAATACTATCTAATGCCTAAAATCAAACACACCTAAGAGATCAATAAAGTAATACACGTTAAAGATTAAAACATAATACAATTCAATCCAATAAACACACTTCTTAAAGAGTAAGCCAACAAAAATAATTTTAAAATTTAAGCTCAATACTCCAACTCATCTCACACAATCACATTTATTAAAGGACAAAAAACGTTAATAAGAAAAGTCTTGACATCATCAATCCTTTTTTTTACTTTCTCCAATAAAAAAATATAATAAGTATCAATTTTTCTCTCTTCCTATGGACAACATCAAAAGTAAACTCAACACATTCTTTACTTCTCTCAATCTCGATATTGTTGTAATTTAAGCACAAAATATCAACTAAAATATTCATTCTCATAAAAAATTCAAAATAAATTTAATTTCATTTCAAATTTTTTTTAAATAAATTTGTTTGTCGTAGCCCATAAAATATAACAAAAAATTAAGTCAAAGTTACAAATGTAAACCAGTAAATTATCCTAAAAATTTTAAAAATAGTTTAATAATTTAACAAAAGATAGTAATGAATGTATTTGTAATAATAGTGAATCATATAATACTACAATTTCGATGAAGAACGTACAAAACGTACAAAAAAAGCATAAAAATATTAATGAAACAATAGATGATAATCCTATCAAAATATTTGTGATCAAAAGAACTATCTATTAAAAAAAGATGTTAGCATAATTTCAAAAAAATAATTAATTAGCAAATTTTTAAATGTAATTTAATAATTTAAAATATTATTAAAAATAAAAAGTATTATTGACATTGATCTCTTTAAGCCTCATATGTTGTCAACCCACCGCTCCTCGCCATGAGTTACTAGCCTCGGTTTCGATCCTTAGGCTCTTCGAAGTGATTCCAATATTACGAGGGTGATCAGTAAAATAATTACATCTTACTTTTAGTAGACACTATCACGGTGTTTTGCATTCAATGTCGGTCAAACAATTGTTGTTTTACTTTACCTTATTGGTTTAACGACGAATTCGGTGCGTGACATCTAGTGCATTGATACCCGAATGATTATAAATAAATCAAACTTGATCATGCATCGGTTAATTCATGGGTGACCTAATTGACATCACTTGTCAACTCTTCTGTTATTTTGTGGACCACTCCGTGTGTTCAACACTTGCTACAAAGATCCCCACCACGTATTATTGAGGTGATAATCGAGTTAAGTCGGATTATTATGAGTTTATGTCGAATATTAATCAATTATAATTTAATTTAATTAATTAATTGTGTCATGTCGAACTGACCTATTTGTTTTCTTGTCGTGTTCGTGTTCGTATTCGTTTTCGTATTTGTGTTGATCTAGATAAACTTTGAATAAAAATTTTAACGTTAAAGATTCTATTTTCATTTAACTCAAGTCATGCTCATACTTTTTCTACAAATTTAAAATTAACTTAATAAACATAATAATAATAATGAGTAAAAATATCTTTTTAATACAATAATTATGTCAGTGTTTAATAAACAATTACAAATAATTAATATTTTATTTTTATAATACTAATTAATTATGCCGATCATGTTAATTTTGTATTGTTCTTATTACCATACAAACAAGAAAATAGAAAAAATGTCAATTCTTAAATAAGCAGGATGATCGTGTCAATTTTGAGTTTAGCTAGTTAAACTTGAACATGACCTGTTTATATTTCACGTTTGCGTATCGAATCATTTTCGAGTTCATGTGCAATTATAATCGAATTCGTATCACAAAATTCTTGTCAAGTTTAGCTCGTGTCCTCGGGGTGAAGTCAAAAATTGCCACCCTAACTATTCACACTCTTAGTTATAAGGTAAATTCAGAATGTGTACGATCCCTCAAAAAAACCTACACGTGTTAGAATTTTAAAAACTTGAATTCAGAACGATGCTTAGGAAACCCTCCGAGGATTAAGAGGTGTAGTAGACATACTTTCTATTACAAGTAAAAACTAAGTATTAAATTTTTGACTTGTCCCACAATTAATTCAAAAATTATAATAAATTAGATCAATAAATTAAGTTTCAATAGCATTACTCTTATATTTTAGTTTTCTTTTAAAAACCGGATAAAGGGTTTTGGAATTATTCTTCAAAAATTGAGGCAGTATCATAAAAACTTAGGAAGTGTTAACATAAATTTCCCCATCAATATATATCTACCTACAAGAGGCTCAAATTATATATAAGATATAATGGACTAGTAGTTGCATACCATTGACTTATGGGTAAGTGGTCTCGAGCCCTTTTCTTTATGACAACGACATATCGAAATTCATTTCGGTGTATTATTTCAATTATTTAAAAAATGAAAACTTTTCAATATATTTTAGAAATGTTTCGATCCATTTCAAATATAAAATAAAATAAATAATAATTTAAAAATTAATTTTTCAAAATATTGATCGAATTATACCAAAGTATTTTAAAATATATTAAAATATTTTGAAATAATTATGTGAATGTATTAAAAAATTACAAAATACATCAAAACATTACAAAACGCCTTGAAGTATTAGAATTTTAATTTTATTTTTGATTCGTTTTGATCTCTTTGAAAACAGAAATATTTCGGACGTTTTGAAACAAAATTTCGCTGTTGATATTTCAATTTCAAAGTCTGAATCTGATGGACCCAAATTTACTGATTTGTCACCAAAAACAAGTGGACCTATGGAAAAGAAAACTTCATCACTGATATTCCAGTATAGAAAAAAATTATCTTTCCTACGAATTTAAGTTAAAATTAAAAGAAATCAAAATTAAAAATCACTGGTGTCCAACGATTGGCAATTTTCTGGAAGGAAATTATTGAACCGTCTTAGTTTGGTCACTCTTACGTCACAAAAGATTTTGCTGCATGCCAAAGATGTAGTTTGATTTCTTATGTTCTATTCTTTCAAGTTCTGTTATGTCTTTTTTCGGACTCTTATGTACCTTTTAGTAGGTGTTTTCTGGAAGGAACTGAGTAGGTGTTTTCTTTTATGTTATAGATACAATATTTAGAAGTTGTAACATCCCTTTCCTCCTCCCTGTTTCGTTATTCCACTAACATTTAATTGTGGATATAAGTAGGAGATTAAGGTGGTGTTTAATAAAACTAAAAATTGAAGTTTGAAAGCTGAAACCTAAATACTGAATTTGTGGACTGTTGGGTATTCACTCAAATTTAAGTACTGAATTGAATTAAATTGTTTGATAACTACACAGAACTGACGTTTGAAAATAAATTAATTTTCAGTTTTATCCTTTCACTCTTTAATTTGAAAATATTTATAAAATATGTCATAACATAAATCATAATCACTATTATTATATTGTAATCTACATTTAACAAATATTTGGTTAAAATAAATAAATAAATAACATTTGAATAACACAATAAGTGAACAATAACAAATTGAATAACATAATAAGTGAACAATAACATCTTATATATAAAAAAAAAAAGAACAATAACTAATAAATAATCAAATAATATTAAAAAAATACAATAATTAGATTTCATTAACAATATGTGTGTACACCATGTGCGTGTGTGCAGTCCATGTGTGTAAGTATGTGTGTGTACAGTGCATATGTTTGTATGTAATTATGTGTGTGCAGTGCGTGCATTTGTGTGTGTAATTATAATTATGTATGTATATTTTTGTTACAGAAGACAAGGGATAAAAAAAAAGAGATCGACGGGGAGAATATATAGGTTAGGGGTTTTGGAGAGAAGACTAATTAAAGTTTTAATATGATTGTAAACTATTTCGAGATATAATTGTCATATTGTAAATATTATTAAAGATGGTTTTACCGAAGGCTTTCAGCTTTCAGGTTTTAGAATTAAATAAGAGATCTCCTACTTAATATTGTAGCCTATTTTTAAAGAGCACTTAACATATTAAGAGAGTTTAAATTTTGATTATCAAACGGACTTAATTAAATAAGTACTGAATTTGGGTTAACAAACACACCCCAAGTTATTCAGGGAAAATTGTAAACCTATTGAGTTTATGGTCAACCTATTAGGTTTTGACATATCATCAGTGTGGATCCCAAACTTTTAACTCTAGTCCAGACTCTCAAATCTTTTTGTATCCTCTCTCCTCTCCTTTTTTTGTTTTTTTTGTTTTTTTTGTTTTCTACATGTTCCTTGAATTTTCTGTGTATATATCTTGGTCAATGATGGCCAAGGACCAAACATATCTTCTTGGACCATTGTCCTCGGCCTCGACATAGGAAGGTATATCAAGACCTCAAAACTCGAGATAAAATATGAGTCGAGGAAGGGTCAATGCTTCCCAAAAAAATTACCACTTGGACCCACCTGACACGATCTAGCACTTCCTGACACCTTCTAATGATTTATTGGCACACTTTTGATGCATAGAAGTATGTCAATATTGTCAACAATACTTAAGTAATACTCAATTTGCACGCCTACCAGTAATAAAGACCACTTAAACCACCTTTCCAATCAAATAAATATATAAATACCCCTCATTAATGCATGCAAATGGGGTAAGTAATACCAGAAAAAGATATAACATTGGTTGTAAAGTCAATAATCTTCTCCACACACATTTTTATTGTTTCATTGGCCCATTTTATCCATTAATTTGGGCGTTGGAGGTGATTTGGCAAGTATCACACCGATGCTCTCTTTTATTAGACCTTCTCTTGACAGGAAATAAAGGGCCAGACAAACTGCGCAATCAAAGCTACTTCACTTGCACAAGCACCAACACCCCATAGAATCCAGAGCACCTCGCCCTTGCGAGTTGCGTAAGATCCATGCATGACCTTTGTGCAGAGACCATCGATGCATGACCTCTAGAGTCCACTCCAAAAACTGATTCGTCAATTGGTGCTATTTGTAGGAATGATGCAAAGTTCTTATCTGTAACTCTAAATTTGGAACATCATCTGGCATGGCTTCTCTTAAAGGACATAGAAAAAACGTATAGAACAACTAAACCTTACAAGCAGATAATCCTTCGAAACATCACATCAATGGTCCGGCCTTGGCTGAAAAGATACAACGTGAGGTCGTCGCGCTTGGAGAACAGGTTCATCAGATGCCAGAAGCTCTAAAGACTTTCCTCTAGCTAAAACAAGCGATTATCTTCCATAACCCACCCCCACCTCCAAGGCCGAGAAACCCAGTCCACGCTTCCTTGGTGAAATCATGTGTTGCATTTTCCCAACCACCCTGTTGGTAAATGCGCGAGCATGGTTTAGCAAGATGAAATCGACCTTAATTTCCACCTTCCTATAGTTAAGCCAGTCCATTATCTCGCACTTCGTAGGAGGATAGAAGCACCAAAATCCTACAACTTACTTGTTTAATATCAAGCAACAAAAGGATGAACCTTTAAGGAGTTACGTCACTTGCTTCATCAATGAAACATTGCAAGTTGAAGACCTTAATGATAGGGCGTGAGCACCCTAAAGTTCCTCTAATCCTAATCAAAATCACCTGCAACATCCATGGCAGATTTATTGAAGAAATCCTAGAAACACATGAACACATAAGACATTATCAATGCTCAACAAGAGTCCTTCTCAGTCATCCAACTCGAGAAAAGGAGGGTAGAACTGAGCAAAATGACGACACCACTAGAACCAAAGAGAAAGAAGCACAGCAAATCCTCAGTGCTTGAGGATCGAGTCCCAACCACTTGGTTCAAAAAATACACCCCATTGAACACTCCCCTAGAGCAAGTACTTAGTACAAGTAAAGAATGATCAAATACTAAAATGGCCGAGAAAAATTAGGGCTCCTCTTGAAAAAAGGTCTCAAAAGAAATATTGTTGGTTCCACCATGACCATGTGCTTGCCATAGAAGAATGTCGGGACCTCTACGATCAAATTGAGACCCTAATCCATAGAGGAAGGCTCAGATGTTTTTTTATCAAACGAATGTTATCGTAGGAAAAAACCTGGCCACTATACTTGACAACTAAGCCCAACAATTGCCTTTGGGGTAGATTCGGGTCATAGTAGGAGGCTTAGACGGAGGAGGAGATTCCACTTAGGCTCGGACAACATCCAAAGTCTACGGTATCCACACAACTAAAATCATGTCCAAGATTCCTTGAATTTGGGAAGAATTGATCTCTTTCACTAACCGAGACCTAAAAGGTATCCAATATCCTCGTGATGACCCTTTGGTAGTGATCCTTACTATCGTGAACTTCAAGGTTGAAAGAGTCCTAGTCGATAGTGGAAGTTCAGCAGACATTCTATATCTGGAAGCCTTCAACTACCTCAATCTAGGCTGGGAATTATTTCAACCGACCATGTTGCCTCTCATCGGCTTCTCTATAGAAAAGGCCTATCGACTAGGGTTTATTCTCTTTCCCAAAATACCTAGAGACCCTCCAACACAGTCCACCATCATGGTCAACTTGTTGATCATGGATTCCATTTCCTTATAAAATGTGATCATGGGGTGACCTTCCTTGAATTCTCTTTGATTCATCCCCTCCACTTATCACTTGATGCTACATTTTTTGACCTCCGAGGGCGTAGGTCAGGTGAGGGGAGACCAGCTTTTGGCTAGGGAATGTTACACTGCCTCTAAGAGTCAAAATGAGTCACCCTATAGATTGAAGTACTTGCTATATGAGATGATAAAAATCGGGGAACCTTGATGGAAGTCCTCAAGGAAGTGGTTATCAACCCAAACCACCTAGAGAACAATGAAGATTGGCACAATGTTCACTTCAAACTCAGAGCTTGACTCTTAGATTGCCTACAAGAAGCTCAAGGTGTGTTTGCATGGGATCACAAAGACATGCCTAGAATCAATACAAGGATCATGGCTCACCGACTGAATATGGACCCTGACAATGAGCAAAAAGAAATGAACTCTCACTTCGAGAAAAACAAAGCAAGCAACGAAAAGGTGGCCAAGTTCCTAAAGGCGGACTTTGTCCGAGAATCACATTACCACGAATTGTTAGCTAATATAATGCTTGTAAAAAAAACTAGTGGACAATTGAGACTCTGTCTAGATTTTACCGATCTCAATAAAGCATACTCTAAGGATAGTTAATCCTTGCCTCAGATAAATATATTAATAAATACGACAGCTGGCCATGAGCTATTATGTCTCCTCGATGCATACTTAGGGTTTAATCAAATCTTAATGGACCTATTAGACTAATAGGTCCAGTAATGGACATCATTCATTACTGATAGGGGAACTTTCTCTTATAAAGTATTGCACTTTGGGCTCAAAAATGCAAGAGCCACCTACCAATGATTGGTAAATAGGATGTTGGAGAACCAAATAAGCAAAACTATGGAGGTTTACATGAATGACATGCTAGTAAAGAGCCTTGAAGCTGACCTCCACATTCAACACCATGAAAAGACCTTTGAGGTTATGTGAAAATATAAGATTATGCTAAACCCGATAAAGTGTGCCTTTAGGGTAAGCTCATGGAAATTCTTTGGAGTAATGGTGACCCAGCAATGATTTGAAGCCTACCTAGAGAAAATTGCTACCTTGGTTAACATGAGGTCTCCTCGATTTACAAAGGAGGTTGAGCAGCTTACGGGTCGAATTGCCACGCTTAACAGGTTCATCTCTTGAGCTATTGATAAATTCCTTCCATTCCTCTAAATTCCATAACTCATATCCATAGCTATCATAGGGGAGGAGTGATACCTTTACTTGGCTATATTCGCAATGGCTTTCAACTTGGTTGCCATCCAAGAAAAAGGAGACATTTATAAACTAACATATTACACTAGTTAAACCCTATGGGGAGATGAGGAGCAATATTTGAAGATGTAAAAGCTCATCTATTCCTTAATAGTTGTTGCCAAAAGACTAAAGCCATACTTCCAAGCACATCAAATAGTCTTGTTAACCAACCAGCCTCTCAGATAGATACTACACAAACTAGAGATATCGAGGCGCCTCATGAAATGGTTGGTTGAGCTTGAGCAATTTAATATCTACTACCAACCCAAGAGGGCGATAAAAGGATGTTAGTGGCTGACTTTCTTGTAGAACTAACTGGTGAAAGTAAAGAGGAGACACATACAAATATTTGAAAAGAGGTAACACTAGAGCTAACGCCAAATCCATTCCTCGGATGGTCCTTGTACATCTCCAGCTCCTCGAAAAATTATTGTAGTGGGGCAGGATTAATCCTTATCTCCCTAAAATCCTTGAAAGTGGAATATGCCCTTAAGTTCATCTATAAGGCCTCTAACAACAAGGTCAAGTATGAGGTCTTCCTAGCTAGGCTTTGACTAGCCCATCACCTTGGTGTCCAAAAAATCTAGGTATATAGTGTGACGCCTAAGAACATGGAATTGAGTACGTGAAAGACTTCAAGGGTTGAGTGTGGAGAGCCAGACCAAACGTGCATGGCTTCAGAGGGTGTGTAGATCAATTCTGGGAGATTGTAAGGCTTGAGTTACACAGTTTTTATGGATAGATGGAAGAAATAAGGCCAGAATAGAAGCTCAGATAAATCAGGGTTAGTGCGTTCCGGACAATTGGGGGGTCTGGATCAAGTGTGCGGGAATTAATAAGAGGAGTTAAGAGGGTTGTAGGATGAAATTGTTAAGCTAGGGATTAATTAAATAATTTATATTAAGATTAAGTCAAATCAAAATTCAAAATTTGAAAAAAAAAATTAAAAAAACTGCCTTTCCCATAAACTCCTCACATGGAGGAAGTAGGAGTTAGCTGTTTCTTGGTGTTCTAGCATATGAAAGGTAATCATTAGTGGTTAGTTGTCTTTAGAAGCTGAAGATATGTCTTATGGGAAGTTTTTGAAGTTCAAAAACATTAGAAGGAGAATAAGAAAAGGAGAGAGATAGTGAGAGTAAAGTGTAGAAAGAGAGAGTGAAAATTCTGGTTTGAGCTCTACGGTGATTCGAAGTGCAAGACCAAGAAAGAACTACTCTTTTCATCACTACAAATGCCTGGGTAATATAAGATTTGGATTTAGTTTGGTGTTTATGCTCAAATTTGAATTTAAAGAGTGATAGCTTTGGTTTTTTTATTGAAACGGGTCTCATAGCTACGGTTTCCTAAGTTAAGGGGTTTGTGAGTGTTTTAGAAGTGGTTTAATGGTTGGTCGTGGTTTGTTATGGTGTTGGGACGAACAAACCCCTTAGGGTTTGAATTCTTGATTCCTTTGAAAACTTGTGTAAGGTTGGGTTGGGGGCATGGGTCTAGATAATTTGGGGCCATTGATTCCAAATATGGTCTTAGAATTATGTTTTGAGGTCATTTGGGTGGTGAAAATGGCATTTTATGGACTAATCAACACTTTGAAGTAAATTTTTGTACTTATTTTTACCATAAATTGGTGGTGATTGAGGGTGAGTTAAAGGGAGTGGTTTGTGAGTGGGGTTACTCTGGGCTTTGAAAGCAGGGGAAAAGGTGGAGTAGGGAGTGAGAATAGAGGGTGCAAAGGTAGGGGTTAAGTAAAAATTCTGATTTTAGGGCAGCAAGGCAAACTACCAAGGAGGAGAAGAAGAAATAAATGAGGAGAGGGAGGGATAAAAAGCCACCACGTTCACACGTGAGGGCACGTGGAGTGCCTGGTGGACCTTTGGTTGGTCTCTATGGACTCCCAAGGTCCATACGATGACCCCGATGGTCTACATTTCGCAATCTGAGTTTTCAACAAAAACGGGGTTCAAAATGTCCACTTTGCCCTCCGAGGCCGATTCAACTTACACTACAACAAATTTATTTTTTAGCGACGAAATGTATATATTTTGCGATGAGTCAATTCGTCTCTAAAAAATAGTCTTATTTTGTGGGTGATTTTCAAAAAAAATTATTTGATATTAATTCTTAAATATTTAAATTGAGTATGTGTATGAAATTTCATCGAAAAATAACACTGTTCTATTTTTGGCAGTTTTAAATCGATCTACACACCAAGGTAGGGTTTCTCAATTCTGAAATGGGTGAGATTTTTTCATTTAAATTATTTTACATATTAGGTGAACTATGATTGGGTGTTTCGTACAATTTTGCAAATTTCGGACCTAGTTTAGGGTTTTGATATGCCCTATGTGCAATGGTTTGTATTGATCGTATGAATTAAAA